ATAATTTTCTATTTCATTCCAAATAAATAAATTGTGCCTATCATGGAAGAAAACAGAGATGCAGACCAGGCTGGCCTCAAACTCACAGACATCCACCTGCCTCTGCCTCCTGAACGCTGGGATTAAAGGCGTGCGTCACCAACACCCGGCCATCTGGTCAAGGTTAAAAGTCTATTTTCACCTTAAAAACATTCTCACTTTTAGATAACTTTTGGTTATTATAAGATGGGTGTGTTGCTTGCTGATGATATAAATGAGAGCTTTAAAGAAAATTTTAAATTACCTGAGCCTCTTAAAAAAAAAAAAAAAAACCTTAGGCTCAATTACCTGCCAGCCTAAAATGGTTATAGAAACACAAATTCTGATTAAGACCGAATCTGTCACGAGTGTAAAAGTCAGACCTTGCTTCTCCCTGGAGCTAGCAGGCTTCCTACTGAAAAAGGGAAACTCACAAACACGTTTCAGTGGCACCAAACTACCAGCCTGTAGTTACTGACTGAAATTTTCTTTTTACTATTTCTTTACACTCCCATGGTGGCTTAAAAATCCTTGCCTTTTCAATGACTACTCTCACTAATTAAGCATCTATGTTCCATGGCAAATGATTAAATATTTATGCAAATGATAAAAGTCTAAAAATGTGGTCTAAGATATGTGGAAATGAGACTTAAAATGATACATATGATATTAGAACTTTCAAATCCAAAGTTTAACATATTAATCAACTGGGTTCTGACAAGATATGTAATCTAGTCTTGGTAACAGTTATAAACACTGGTTAATAAAACTTTTTTGTATCCTACAAAAGATGCTTTAGTGTTTTTCCATTTCCATTACACACATTGGTGACAGTAAGAAGTGCCAGTTTAAAGGACTTTGGACTCTGACATAACTTTTGCAAAAATGCAATGAATTATACAAACCATTCCTTCTGGCAAGCACTTGATAAAATAGTGAAAAGCACACAGTTATCTTCAGCAGCCAATACCATCATCTAGACACCAAAAAAATCAATGAAATGAAGACTGTGGAAGGCGGCTACTAATCCCCTAATGTGCAATGCTGGATGTCCTGACATGTTAATAGTTAAGAAACATAATAGAACAGAGTGGCAACATTACTGTAGAAAATGGAAAGTCTACTTGGAAAAAACAGGTTGATTTGGGTGGATTTCCACTGTCATCTGATACAGCCGGGACCCCAGTGGGCTCTGCCACATGAATTCTTAACTGCTTCTAAAACGGCAGGAGCCAAGGACGCGAGTGCAAGAGGCCAAGGCACTCACTCCCTTCAGCGGTTTCCAATGTAAGGACTTCAAACTTAGTGCTTTTCGCTCACTCCGTTCAGATGTTCCTGGAAGTTCATACAAACACTGAATTGCTGGTTCGCGCCCTTCCTCACAGTCTACGATAAAGACACTAATTCCAGTATTGGGAGTGACTGACGCGAGTTCTAATTTGCCTAGTGTTGCTGGCCATGAGCATTTGAGGTCACTCAGAAGGTAACCAAAGAGGCTTCTCATGTAAGCTCCATGGCTCACAACTAAGATGCAGGCTGCTAAACCAGGGTGCCACCATCAGGGTGCAACTGCAACTGGTTTCCTACAGGGAAACAGCTCTCCAGACAGTTGCCCGGAGCCCCAGGAAGATGCTTTCTCTCTGGCCCGTCTCACCCACGATTAGTTGACAAATACAACCAAAGAAACCCTTTGCGCGTGCTTTCACCTGCTCTAGGGTCTCTCCTCCGGGTGGAGTGAACACGGGACACTCTTCCCCAGCGGCTCTGGCCATGGCCCGCATCTCGCTTAGAGGCTTGCCTTCTACGACCCCATACTTCCTTTCTCGGAGTCTGGGGCCATACTTCACCGCCATGTCTTTGCAAAATATGGTTTGCTTAGTCCTCGTGATTTCACTGGAGAAAGCTAAACTTCACATTGTTCAGAAAGCAACCAACGGCAGCTGCTTGCTTAAACCCAGTCTCGGAAAGGGGCTCATCTACTCCTTGCCCTTGAATGATTTTCCCCTTATTAAATCTTGTTTCGCCATGGCAGATAACCGTCAGGGCGAAGCACGGCATCTCGGCGGGGACCCTAAGACGCAGGAATCAGGACCCAGCTCTGCTGCACTGCTCTCTAATAAAACTTTTTTAAAAGACAATTAAAATTATCATAGTCACAAGTTCAAAATTTTTAAACTTCCTTTGGATGTTTTCTTTTCTAAGTGTGGAGTTTAAAAAGATAGGATTGAGGGATGGATGAAGGCAGGGTAATGAGAGAGATTACTTGAGAAGAGGGCATTTTGGGGTCAGGTAGAAACCTGATGCAAGGGAAACGCCCACAAATCTACAAGGACGACCCCAGCTAAGATGCCTAGCAATCGTGGATAGGTAGCATCAACTGGCCATCTCCTGTAATCAGGCTGGTAACTACCCCAGTTATCACTGGGGAGCCTTTGTCCAGTAACCTGTGGAAAAGATGCACAGCCAAGCACTAGGCCAAGCCTGAGGAATCCTGTTGAGGAGAGGGAGGAAGGGTTATATGAGATGGGGGGCAAGGTCATTATGAGGGAACCCACAGAAGCAACAGGCCTGCTCATGGGAGCTCACAGGCTATAGACTGATGGTAGGGAGCCTGCATGGGACCAGCGTAGGCCCTGCGCATATGTGTGGCTTGGTCTACTTGTGGAACTCCTAGCAGTGAGAGCAGAGCCAGTTCCTAATGCTTTTGTGGGCTTTGGGAACCTGTTCCTAACGCCTTACCCAACCTTAACACAAGGGGAGGAGCTTATTCCTATTTCAACTTGATTCGCCATGCTTTGTTGGCATCCATGGGAGACCCGCCCCTTTCTGAACAGAGGTGAAAGAGGGGTGGATTGGGGCAGAGAGGCAGAGGGGGAGTGGAGGAGGGAATGGGAGCAGTGGGGATGGCAATCTTTGATCAGGATATAAAATAAATGAAAAAACTTAATTTAAAAAAAGTACTTCTCCTTGTGCTGGAGACATCTCTGCTCAACTTATGTCTGCCCAGTCCTCCTGTAGTCAGGTGATGTAAGGACAACAGGCCAGAGGAAAGAATTCCATGTTTCTGTCCAAGAACTATCCTCCAAGCCCTCAAGCTCTCCCTTCCCTTTGCTCTCTTCCCTGCCAGGAAGGGTCTATCTTCTTACAGATGAATGTTCATGTCTATGCTGACTTTTCAGGCTTTATTCTTGCTATGACTCCAAGGAATGCACCTGCCTGAGCTTTCTGCAGACACTTACTAGCCCTTTCCCTACAGTGAGGATCCCAAAGCAAACAAAAACAGGCAGTGGGACAGATGAGCTCTTCTTGTCGACTTGAACACATTTATGTAAGCTTCAGGGAGTCACGACTTGGCTTCATCTGCCACAGTTCAAACCTGCTCCGGATCCCTTGTCTGGTAAGTACTCCAGTCAGTGAACAGCTTAAGCTCTCCTGCCTACTGCCTGTCACTGGGAATGGGTCCTTTCAGTCCCCTGGTCTTGGGGCTCCTTTCCACTCTCCCATCCACCAGGACTGTGCAACAGAACTGAAAGTTTCAAATTTATGTCCAAGATCCCCCTAAGCTCCTTAACATTACCTTCTACCCATAGTCTGCATCTATCCGAGCAGATCTCTGCCCAGCTGGCAAGTTCCATGTGGAAATCAACCTTGGCTCTACTATGACTCCCGAACCAGTTCACCTCTCTAGATTCAGAGGTCCTGCAAAACCACAAGGCCCTGACTTGCTGACTGCTGAGAAAGCAGGCATTTGTCTCTTCTTCAATAGATTATTCTGTTACTGTGTAAGCCAATCTGGCCAGGTAAACAAGAATTCTGAGCTGGCACACAGAACGCACCTCTGGGGGAAGACACCAGTGCAGAACTTTCACTACAGTCTCCTATGGACTCTTGCCTCACACCTCTCCTCAGGCCCCTGACCTCTATCCTAGTCATAGGAGCAATTACCCTCTGTCTCTTCAGGTTATTCCAGGAAAGAATTAGTGAACTGACCCATTGCTCAGTGAACCAAACACTTCTGACAGTACTCCTTCAGGTCTCCTACCATTGCCTACTAGTTTGACTCCTGCTTTGGCCCAACATTCCAGACTCCCTTTGCCAATATCCTCACTCAGCTGGAAGTACTCAGAGGACAACCATGGTTTATCATCAACAAAAGGCTGGAACGCTGGGTCCCCAAAGCAGGCTCCAAAGTGGCAGTGCTCATGGTAATGGCATGACCTCCACCTGAGCTGGGGTTTTCTAGGAAACAGAAACCTAAAGCGTTTCTCAGAAGCCCTTAAAGGTTGTATGAACATTGCTGACCACAGCTCCCCAAGCTAACCAGCTGATACCCCCTGGCTAACCACTGGAGCAGCCTCCTCTTGCCATCAGCCCATAGGAAACCAACAAGCTTTTGCAGCTGGACAGAATGTTTTTATTAACTGTTCTTTCTCTCCAAGGAGAATGGTTGTGTTTATTAGTTTATCTGTGCATGCTTATAATTTGTTATCTGGAATATTTAAAGCAAATGATAGCTTTATAATCATACAAAAATCTTTGTATGATGATGGGACATATCATTGCTACTGAATTTTTGAAGGTGTAGTAGAGTTTGTGGGGTACACAATGATTTCTTCCAGAGTTGTAGAATTTTCACTGTATCTTGAGCTGGTTGAGGGTTATATAACTATATGTATTCATTGAGATGTTTACATTTGTGCACCTTAATTTCAAATTTTTATGTCTTTTGAAATTGAAACAGACAAATAGACATACTCAGGGTCCAAGTTTGTACCATGACAGAGGTTCTTGTATCAATCTCAAATGCTAAACTCAGTAGGTGGTTGATGGACATACCCCTCACTGTACAATTAGTCTGTGTTCCTATGTTCTAAACCCTTTGACTACCTCCAGCTGCAGGAATTTCTCATCTTTTATCTCCAAATATATCAGTGAGGAATTATATCTTCAAACTATCTTTATAGGCACTATGTGACGCTTACCTCACAAGGGACAGGAGACACATCCGCTTGCGCATGTTGGGTGTACGGAACAGGTCCCACGGAGAAGATTTTGTCTGTGAGGTCTCTAGCTCCTCCTTCATGGTGCTTATCACAACCTTCAACAACAGCATTCATGAACTGTTTAACTGTCACAAAATGATGGATATTGTGGGTGTGCTAGGCACCTGCAGGGAACTAGATCAATAGTTACTGTTTCTGTCTGGTGAAAAATATAAACATCAAAGAAGCAGTGTCAGCTATAAAAGTGACAAGAAATGTGAACCTAAGGCAACTATAAGATTTCTGCAGTAAGGATATGCTAAGCAAGGAAGTCTAAAGAGATTTAGAACCCTGAAGGTGGGGTGTATGTTAGAGATGCAGACTAAGAAGAGAAAAGTCAGAGAAAGTTCATTTGGATTAGGTCTATAGTGGTTTGACAGAGAAATGTTTCCCATAGGCTCAGGTATTTTCAACACTTGGTACCCAGTTGGTGGCACTGGGTCTAGAAGGTGGAAGGGCTTTGAGAATTCACAGCCTCACCCTACTTCCGGTTTGCATGCTCTGGTTTTTGCTTGTAGTTAAACATACAGTCTCTTGGCTCCCTACTCCAGCTCCCTACTGCCATGTCTCCTCCACCACTATGAATTCTCCTCTGGATCTGTAAGCTCAAGTAAACTTCTGTAAGCTTCTTTTGTTATAGTATTCTTATCACAGCAACGGAAAAGTAACTAATACAGAAGTTGATAGCAGAGAGTGGGTTGTTGCTAGAAAGAATCTGACCAGGTTGTTTTTGGAGGAACATTGAAGACTTTGAAGCTTTGCGCTAAAAAATGTTACTACTGCTGTAAACAGAGCTTAATAGGCCATTCTAATAGGAGTCTGGAAGACAGTGGGGCTGAGAGCCAGGCAAATGATGGAGACCTAAAGTAATGAGAGATCCACCAGACACACCTGTGGTGCCGACCACGCCTCTTTGAGCATGGTCACAGGTGCATACGTGAGCATGTGGGATTTAGTCTGGAGTCCCAGACAGGCTTGCTCACTCTGGGTTCCAGTCAGATCACAGAGAGCAGGTGGGCATTAATCCTCGGAGCTGGAACGTGTGGGTTACTGGCTTCTCATGTAAGTGACTTCTCCCCGAATAAAATTATCCTACATTATCCTAGTCCCATGTATCGTAATATGTACATCCACAACCTAACTCATGAGGTTTCAGAGGAAAACAATATTAGCAGCTGAGCTACAGACCTCTGATACAATTTTTTGGCAAAGAATATGGTTGTTTTCTGCCCATATCCTGAGAATTTGCATGAAACTAAATCAGTGGTTCTCAGCCAGTGGGGTCATGACCCCTTTGGAGTTCAAGTGACCTTTTCACAAGGGTCACCAAAGACCATCAGAAAACACAGATATTTACATTATGATTCATAACAGTAGCAAAATTACAGTTATGAAGTATCGACAAAAAATGATTTTATGGTTGGGGAACTGTGTTAAAGAGCTGCAGGACTAGGAAAGTTGAGAAACACTGAACTAAACTAACAGGCAGCAGACTGATGTCTTTAGCAAAACATTTCAAAACAGAAGACCACTGAGTCTGTGGGGTGGTTGTGTTAACTGAAAACTCTTACACAGGTCTGCAGTGAAAAAGAGCAAATAGAGCAGAAAGAAATGGAAAATATAAAGTTTGCAGAGAAAAAAATACAAGGTCACTAGGATGTTTTGCAACCAAGGCATGTGTTTAAAGAAAGGCTGTCATTGTTAGGGAAACTGAAGCCATTAAGACTTCTTGCTCTTTGGAACGATGGAAAGTGTGCTGAAGAGCAAGACCCCACCATCTAAGCTTCCAGCTTGTGAAAGGAGAAAGTCTAAGAGAAAAAGCAGTTGTTTCAACATAAAAAGCTGCTGTAGTCAACGTGGGCCAGGGCCCATCCCAAGCTGCCGCAGCCCCATTTGGCAGTATCACGCATGAAGTGCTGACTTTAGAGGCATTAAAGATGCAAGAGTGATGGGGTCATAGATTCTTCCTCCATAGTTTCAGAAAGACACGGGCCAGCCAAATGTGTGCCAGTGCTGGAGTCACTGCAAGAAGTGACTTAGAGTCCAGGAGGTCCTCAGAGTCCTTTGCATAAAGCTGTGAAAGGGAAGCCTGAGTTTCAGTGGAAACCCAGATGTAGGAAGTGCCAGGGCCATCTGCAAGGAGAGCTGAATACAAGGAGCTGAAAGCCTGGAGAGATGTATGCCGCAGGCGGCAAGTCTGAAGTCGTGGAGCCAATCCAAGCACTTTGAAATTAAATATCTAGACACTGGACATGGGACTGCAGGACTTGGTGTTTGTCCTGGAGTTTGGTCTTGTTTTGTTCATGGTTTCGTCACTCATTTCTCTCATTTGGGATGGGAATTGCATTCTGTGCCATTGTATGTTACAACTATGTAACTTGCTTTGGTTCTTTTTAAAGAGATTTTGGTTCTTTCTTTTTTAAGAGATTTTCTTGAGTCTCAGAAGAGACTTTGTGCTTCAGACTTTAGAAAGGTTCTCAAGACTGTGAACGACCATGGGGACTTTTCAAGTTAGGTTAAATGCACCTTACATTGCGATATGGCCATGAACCCACAGAGTCCAGAGAGTAATTTCGATGAGAAATGTCTACCATGGGTTCATATAACTGAACACTTGGTCCCAAGTTAATGATGCTATTTGAGGATGATATGGAGCCTTTAGGAGGTGGATCCTTGCTGAAGGAAATACATCACTGGGGATAGGCTTTAGATGTCTAAAGCCAAATCCCATTTCCAGGTCTCTCTCTCTCTGTCTCCTGCTGCTATGCCTGCTTTCTGCCATACCTCCATCATCATTAAGAACTTTCCATCTAGAACCATAAACCAAATAATCTCTTTACTTTATTCCTGCAACAAAAAGTAACTGATATACTGCTGTGTGATATTTCGAGTGCACTCTGACAATAAAGTTTGCTTTGAGTCAGAAGGCAGAACTAACCACTAGCTGACCAAAATTAACCATAGAAGTTTTGGAGGACTGAAGATAGAGAGACAGGAAGTAGTAAGGAGGGGCTGAGAAAAGATCTCGGGCTTTTTGGATGGAGGAACAGAAGAGATAGGAGGTCACACTGGTGGCTGCTCTGCTGCTTCTCTGATCATTCAGATTCTTACCCCAATAACTGATACCAATGTTTTATTCATAAAGAATAATTAGATAAATGCTTCAACATACTTCACTAGCTTCCTTCTTTTTACCTTGTCCAGAACACAAGCCCCGAATATGGTGCTTCCCTCTTTAAGGTATCTTCCCAGTTCATCTTAATCAAGATGATCTTTCACAGCCATGCTCAGAAACTAAACTAATATAAATAACCCTCACAGATATGCCTGGAGACTTGTATCCTAGGTGATTCTAGATCTTGCCAGATTGACCATACCATTGCTTATGGTTTCCTACCAGAACTACCAGTAAGGACATTTGCTACCAGGATATAGAAAAATCGAGCTAACATTAAGCTTGAAACTTTCTCCCCACTGGCTATCTTTCACAGAACTGAAAACATGCTATGCAGACTTATGCAGGAAATTTTTCATCAATAATATACTCATCTGTAAACACGTGTGCCCCACTGTAACATGCCAGGGGAGGTGTGTCTGCTTGTACAGTGTTGGCACCACTGCCATGGAGTTAACAAGCCACCTTTTGATTGGAGCTGAGGTCGATACCAAAGGAGAGAACTCCTATTTAGTATAGCAAACCTGGGTGAAAACCAATAGCTGTGCAAATTATAGACCTTAGTGGGGAAGTGCGGTGGTCTAATGAAAATGGAGCCCGTAGGCGCATGCGCTTGAATGCTTTGTTCCCATGTGGTGGGATTGGTTAGGAAAAATTAGGAGGAGTGATCTTGTTGGACGAGATGTATCACTCAGGGTGGTCTTTGAGGTTTCAAAAGCTATGCCACTCACAGTTAGCTTGCTCTTCTCTCTCTCTCTCTCTCTCTCTCTCTCTCTCTCTCTCTCTCTCTCTCTCTCTCTCTCCACCCTACTCTAGTACCATGCTTTTCTGCCTGCTGCCATGCTCCCCACCATAGACTCTAACCCTTGAGTCCCCACATTAAATGCTTTCTTTTATAAGTTGCCATGGTCATGGTTTTGTTATGCTAATAGAAAAGAAACAAAGACAGGAAGTTACTGTTGCTGTTTCGGGAGTTGTTTTGTTTGGATATGATGTACCAGTACATTGCCATCTAAATATCTTTTTTGTGTCCATATAACAACACTGCTGTCAGCTATGGTCAGAGAAACTTCTTTTTATAGTGCATACAGTTACTGCAAACTCTAACTGGTCAAAGGGCTGAAAATAAGTGACTTTTGAGTGCTCCTCCTTAAATCGGACATCTATATCAGCCCTTCCAAGGCTCAAGGGACAACATGAGGAATTTAAGAGCAAGAGGAGGGGGTGGGATACATAGAATTCTATTCTCAAGGCCTTATATGGCCATTACACACTTAAACTCTTAGCTGTTGTGGTTACGTACACAAGAGCTGCCCAAATAGTCCAGTCAACAACCCATTGTAGAAGTAGAGAGGCTTGTAATGCCATTTCCCTTCTTCAGGACTTACTGGTCATTGCGAGATGAAAAGGGTCATAAAGGCCTACTGATCTTCAAGACTGACGGTCAGTTAATAATTTCTGGGAGAGGAAAGACATTTTCTTCAATGGAATAACCACTGTAAGTTGCCCACTGTCCTGTAAATAACATCTCATCTATGTTTCTATAGCTAACCCTAATTTACTTCTTGCTTCATACACAAAAGAAGACATCAAAGCACAAAAGGATTGTTTAAAAAGAGGAAAGGGATAAGCAGGGGTAAGAGAAGAATAAATCAATGAGTGATAAATATGATAAAAATATGTAACATACATATATGAAAATGGTATAACACTCATCATTATATATAACTAATATATGCTTTAAAAGTTTTAAAGTGAATAAAATTCTGTGGATAAGTTTTTACAAATTAAATCCAATAAGCAAAAGTCCCTTTTGAAAGAAATGCATGTGTGCAATATAGTAAATAGTAGCATACTGCATCTTGACACCTAGACATATATGTATCAGGCTTGTGTTTCTTCTGTGTCATAATAAACTCCCATTATGCTCACCTCCATGGTTAGGGTGTCTCCAGAACTCTTCATTCCATTCATATGTGCAGCTCTTCTGAGCTCCTGTAAGCTCTTTTGAGGTTTGTTGGTCACAATCAGCCACCGAGCTGACTCTGACAACCACCTGCTCAAGAATATTGAAAGTAAAATCAATTTTCATGTGGTCATTTTTTGCACCATATTTGTGCTTAGATAGTTTTATTATTATCCTAATGACTACAATTAATTCTGTTATAGCAGTAAATATAATCCTATGTTGTCTGGTACCTTCACTAGAAAACAATTTGCGTATGCAGTACACTTGTACTTCTGGAGTGCAGAACCATAGTTCATGTTGGCCTCCCTGCCAGGACTTGCATGCAAATTTACATGGAGTTCACTGAAGAGACACAAGGGACACCTATATAGTACTTTGCTAGATTCTTTTTTGAATGTAAGAAGCATTTATTCATAAAATTTTTTCCAAAACTAAGGACCTCTGGAAAAATGTTATATAGCAATTATAACATCTGAATTGTATCCATTCCTACACCAAGCACCTAATGGCATTTAGCCACTCATTAAAGATGAATCTGACTCAGTTTATCATCTATATAATGGGAGCATCAGTGCCACAATGTTGATTGATTTGTTGTGAAGATTTAAATTATATGAATAAATGTGAAGAAAATTTGCTTCTTTATCTGTATGAACTCATATAATTGTACCAAGCCTGTAATCACCTCTTAGAGTTTTTTTAATCAAATATTGCTTCTCTGCCGACAATATTATAGCACTTTTAAAGTGTTTTTAAAAGAGGAAAGGGTATGATTTTGCTCTGGGAGCTAAGACCACATAGCCTCTTACAAGAAGTAGAGGACCCCAGCTTCCCTGCTCAGGCCCATCCAGGCAATGCAGAAACTCACTGTACCAATCTGCAGAGGACAATTACATCTCAACCATACTAAGACTTAGTCCTCTACTGAACATTTTAAGTGTCTCTAGTAAAAGGAAAAAGGCAACATAAGCAAAAAGGAAACGCTCAACCAACAAATTTCCCCAACTGCTTCAGTCTCCACACAGAAATAACAGGATAAACCATGAAACATCATACTTCCAAAAATGACTAATCCCATAATAATGACCCATAATAAAAATTACAAGAAAAAATCCCAAATAATTCAACATGATTATAACTATATTTAGCACTTCAAATAATATGTTAATATGCTCCAAGAAATTGAAAACAAAGAGAGAAATAAATAAGGAAGTCATTGCAAGATACAAAAACAGAATTCAGTGAAAAGATAGAATTACTGAAGAAAAATCAAACTGAAATGATGCTGAAAATGAAAAATACAGCAATTAACTCATAGAAACCTCAGTGGAGCTCAGGCTAACATCAAACTCATGATCCTCCTGCTTCTGCCTTCTTCAGCAAATCCTACAATTGTGTGCCACCACAACAGGTTGTTTAGCTTAAATTTTTAGTTGAACTCTAAACAATGGAAGTAGGAGTGTCTCTGGCTGTTTTGCCTGCTTGTGGGACCTTTTTCTCCTACTGGGTTGGCTCATCCAGCCTTGATGTGGGGACTTATACCTAATCTTATTGAATCTTGTTATGCCATGTTCAGTGGCTATGACTGGGAGGCCTGTTCTTTCCTAAAGGGAAATGGAGGCGCAGTGGGTAGAGGACAGACTGGGAGGATAGGAGGGAGGGGAGGCTGAGGTCAGGGTGAGAGAGGAATTAATTTAATTAAATAACAATTTTGGGAGGGGAAAAAAGGACTTCAGTGGAAAGCCTCATCAACAGAATGGATGATGGAGAAAATGAAGTATTAAGGATAGGAGACAAGGTAGAACAAACAGATCATTCAGTGCAGGCCAATGACACATTTTTAAATATATGTGAAAAGATTGTTGCTTATAGAGTTCCACATTTTTGACCAACTTCAAAGAAAGCTGAGGGCCCATGGAAGTACCTATTTTTAACTCCAGGTTAAGACTACAGGTGTGTGGCAGGCAGTGGTGGTACACACCTTTAATGCCAGTACCCAGGAGGCAGAACCAGACAAATTTTTGTGAGCTTGAGGCCAGCTTGGTTTACAAAGCTAGTTCCAGGACAGCCAAGGCTTCACAAAGAAACCCTGTCTCAAAGAAAAAAAGAAAGAAAGAAAGAAAGAAAATGAAAGGAAGGAAGACAGGAAGAAAGAAAGACAGGAAGGAAGGAAGGAAGGAAGGAAGGAAGACAGGAAGGAAGGAAGGAAGACAGGAAGGAAGGACTACAGATGTGTAGGAAGTTCCACATCTCAGCAGTAGCTGAGGAACTAGGATGGGCCAGATATGACTCTGGGTGAGAACTAAAAAGAGTTCCTTGCCGGTTGTGGTGGCGCACGCCGGTAGGATTTGCTGAAGGAGGCAGAGGCAGGAGGATCACGAGTTCGAGGCCAGCCTGGGCTACACATTAAAAAAAAAAAAAGAGTTCCTTAACTCACAGAAATGGTGTCAACCCAATTGGAAGGGCCTCACTGACACAGGACAACACCAGACACTCAAAGGAACCCTAGAGCCAGATCTTCCAGCCCTGAAAACCAGTCCCACAGAGGAAAGGAACACTAGACCCAGATCTTCCGCCCTGAAAACCAGTCCCACAGAGGAAAGGAACATCTCAACCCTAGGGGGACTTAGTCTTCCACTGAACATGCAAACAATAGCACTGACACTTTAAAAATAAAAATATAAAAAATAAAAGGAAAACAAAACCAACCGACTAACTCCAGATGTACACGTCCCATAACAGAAACAGAAAAAAACATGGAAAAGCAACACAGCATTTCTCCTCCACAAATCACTACTCCCATAATAGTGGCTCCTAATTGCTGAAGAATATTTGTTTAACCATGCAAAAATGTGCTCCATTTGTTTAACTGTGTAAAGATGTGTTGCATTTGTTATGTAAAGATGTGTTGCTGCTTTACTTTGCCTGCCTAATTGGTCTAGTAAAAAACTGAATGGTCAATAGTAGGGGGAAGATGCAGACAGAATTTCTGAGCAGGGACAGTAATTAGGGCAAAGAATTTAGGTTCAGGGGAAGAAAGAAAAAGGAGCCTACAGGGAGATGATTTTTTTGCTTTATGTTTGAGCAGGTAAAAGACATCTGTCAACTTTATAAGTTTGTTTGTACTGTATAGCCAAACCTCTATTCATGCCATATGAAAGGATGTCATGTAATAAGTCATGAAGATTCTGTAACCAACAAGATTTATCATGTCTCATCCAGTCTCAGAGCTGTTCCCATGTCAGGTGATCAGCATATATGTCACCTGTCTTGTAGTTTTTGTAAGTTTATTTCTTTCTGTCTATAGCCAAGATTTCAGGAGGTCTCCCCAGATCAAATCTGGTCTCTATTAATTTTAAAGGAATCCACAGCCCTTCATTTCCCATTTGGGCTAGAAACTGCCCTTGTCTCAATTTCTGACAGTACACTGTACAAACTGGACAAGCAGGATCAAAAGAAAAAGACTGCCAAACTTTGCCAAGACAAGGTGGGACAGTCCTTCAAATTTTCTGCTTCACAGAAGTTCGTCAGATATTCTAGACCTGTAGGTCAAAGATGGATGCCCCAACTTTACAGAGGAACCTTGAGTGACAATCCAGGCAGTCAGCTGTCTCTGTCATTTTTATAGTTTTGGAAGGTGATTGCTCTGTACTTCCTGTTTACTCAGGTAGCATTATGTCCTTCTCAGACTCTGATGATAGTTATAGTTTTCCTTGTTACCAAATTCAGAAAAGAAGTTTACAAAAGAAATACAAAGTTTGCCAGATGGTGGTAGCACACGCTTTCAATCCCAGTACTCGGGAGGCAGAGGCAGGTGGATCTCTGTGAGTTCGAGACCAGCCTGGTCTACAAGAGCTAGTTCCAGAACAATCTCCAAAGCCACAGAGAAACCCTGTTTTGAAAAACCAAAATTAAAAAATGAAAAAGAAATATAAAGTTTATAAGGTTGAGAAACATAAAAGCTTAAATTGTTTATCTAAGAAAATGTTGTGAGATCTAAAAAATAATTTTGAGTTGGTAATACAAGTTCAGATAGAAAGCAAATTAGGTACACAACTTTGAACTCACCAAGATAGGATAGATAATGGAGTATTTTCTCTGAATTTGCCAAATGCAAATGGACTGAATATTGTAAATGTAATTTTTAATAGTTGTTCTTATTTAGTCTTATTACATTAAAAACTTCCTTTTTATTTAGACAAAAAAGGGGGAAATGACGCATAATATTTGTTTAACTATGCAAAGATAAGTACACTTGTTTAACTTTGGGAAAATGTGTTTCATTTGTTTATGTGGAAGAATATTTGTTTGACTATGCAAAGACATATTGCATTTGTTTAATTATGTAAAGATGTGTTGCTGCTTTACCTGGCCTGCCTGATTGTCTAGTAAAAAGCTGAATGGCCAATAGTGAGGGAGGAGGTATAGGCAGAGGAGGTATAGGCAGAACTTCTGAGCAGGAAGAGTCAGGAGGAGGAGGAATTTAGGCTCGTGGAAAGAAAGGATAAAACAGGGAGATGCCAGGGGCCAGACAAACACACACAGAGGAAGCAGAAAAGTAGGATATACAGAATGAAAGAAAAGTAAGGAGCCCTGAGGCAAAATGTAGGTGAATAGAAACAGGTTAAAGTAAGTTAAAATAACTAGTGAGGCAAGACGAAGCTAAGGCAGAATATTTATTATTAATAATAAATCTCTGTGTCTTTATTTGGGAACTGGTTGGTGACTCAAAGAAAATGTCAACTACAGCTAATGAAAATGACTTGGAAGAACTACCAGACAAAGAATTCAGGGAATGGTTATAAGTACGTTTAAACAATTCAAAGGAGACATAAATATAAACATACTCCAAGGGAACAAAAACAAAAAGATGAATGAAATGAGGAACTTGAGGTGTCTTAAGTAAGATGCCCCCCCCCCCCGTAGTCTCAAGCATTTGCATTCTTGGTATAGGGAAAAGGGACCAGCCAAAAAAACACACCCTGAGCAGAGCCAAAGAAACACACTTTGGCCCTGCAACCACAACCAAAGAAATATACCCTGGCCCTGAAACCAGTGCCAAAGAAACACACTTTGTTCCTGGAATC